GAAGCAAGATGTGGGATCGGCTCGAAAAGAATTATGGCCCTACTTCAGGAGACATACCCTCAGCAAGTGCACAGACTGGAAGTTTCCCTTTAGAAGAGGGCCGGTGCACTTGAGAGCGCCTGTTGCTCGGACGATTCAATGGAACTGAAGGTTGCGGCACCAGTCAAGCAGCAGACTGGCCAGATGACCGACCACGAACTCCCAGGTGACAAGGAACATACTCACGGACAGCCAATGTAGCGCTCGTCCCGGGATCACTTTCAAACCGGGCCGAGATGAAAAAGGGGGCTAGGGCGACCTTTGACTTCTGGGCTGTCCGTTTTCTGATCCCGAACGAAAAGTTTAACTTTTAGTGGGCTAAATGGAAACCCAACCACTAAACCAGCTCAAAACATCTAAAAACCTAAGTTGAACCGGACGATTCGCGGGTAACCCGAACCGCCAAGTTACTAGGCTTACCCCATATGACGCCGTGGTCAAAAATAGGTGCCCAAAATGGACCCCTGGTAAATGGAAAACAAGGACCAAAACCTGCGGTCCAATTCCTGGTGGTTTAGTTTTGACCCATACCCAATATCTTGTTCGGTGGATTTCCAAAAATCGTCGGGCTAAATGTGTCAAGCCAACCAGACCAAGCAAAACCATCCAAAAGCCTCACGGCTGGAAACCGAAAAAAGTTACTGGGCTACCCCAAATTTGTTTGTTGGATTCAAAAAAATCGCCCCAACCACTCCCCCTCCAGGCTTTTCTCTTCCCACTCTCTCTCGTTCATTCCGCTCCTCGCTGGCGAGTCCAGAGCCACGTGCCGTTCTCCCCGAACTTCATGGCGAAGATGTCGCTGTCGCCCTTGTTGCTGTGCCCGTCGAAGCCGCCTCAGAGGCGCGTCGCGCGGCCAGCTGGGGGTGCCCACCAGGGTTCCACTTTTGGACTAGCCCAAGATAGACGCAGAAGCCCAGGGCTTCCCCTTTTAGGGGGAATGACCCCTGGGTTTAAGTCTACCCTCAAATAGTGAAAAAGTGGAACCCTGGTCTCCACTGACGTGTCCCCCAGGGAAAAACGGGGACAAACCCTGTCCAGAGCGGCTAACTAGTGCTTGTATGTCCCATCAAACCCCTGAAAGGCATGGTTTGGGGGTAGGTCGCATCCACTACTACCCCCAGGGATTCTTGTTTTAAGTGCACACCCTGTCTATAGTGGCGAAATAGTGGTTGTATGAACCCCTGGGCGTCGCGGTTTGGGGGTGAGTGGACACCGTCGCAAAGAAGGAATGGAGCTGCGGATTTGCACACGAACTGAGGCTCCTCAAATCGCAAGAACAGAGGATACTTAAATGCACGTGCGTGGTTGTTTGGGCCGCACTCCAATATGCAAGCGAGAAGGGGTGTCAAAAGCCAGCCTGCCCGGACAGAAACGGGGTCACTGCGCCCTTCAAATGATATCTGATAGCTTGAATGAGACATCTCACGTTTTCGGCTCACAAAGCTCGCTTTCCTCAGCAAAGATGGGCTCAAACATCAAAAGACTACATGATGCTCTCGCCCAAATCGGCTGGGAGGGTGCCCAACCACTGCGAAGGTGTCGTGAGACATCCTCCTCCTGAACATGTGTACTTAGATGGTCTGGCACGAATCGCTAAATGGCCAGCTGTACCCTGGTTACAGGCCACTTACAAACCATTGGAGCCCGCTGCTACCCTTCCGACCCGGGTGCTACTACCACTACAGTAAACCAACTCAACACCCCACAAGCCTAAGAACCTAAGCAACTGGACTGAGAAGCTTGGTGGGAACCACCAAGCTTCCACCCCCCACCCCCCATCCCCCATCCCCCACCTCCACCCACCACCACCCCTACCCCCACATCCCCCATATCCCACCACCTCACTCCACCCCACTGCTCAAGCCGCCGCTGGTGTCGCCCACCACCAGCACCTCGTCGGAGCTGCTGACCTGAACCGCTGAAGCGGAACCCCGCATATTTTTCTGCGCTTTTCCCCCCCCCCCAAGCCCCGAACACCATGGCACAAACACGCCTTGGAGTCTTAGCCTATCTCGATTGGGTAAAAAAAGGTCCAAACATGCCTCTGAAGCCTAGCTCGATTCGGGAAAAAAGTCCCCTAACCCCGAACTCCTCCCCTGCGCTCTTCTAGATTTCAACCCACTGGAATTGGGGCCCCGTTTGGACGCCCCGAAAAGCCCAAGGCCAGAAAGCCCCGAAACCGCACGGCACCGCGCGGCCCAAAAGCACCGTGGCAGTCAGGCGAAGCAGAAAAGCCGCGAGAAGGCTCTGGGAGGCTTTCTCCTTCTTCCGCTGCTTTTGAGGCTCAAGGCACGCAGTGAGGCAACACCTGGCCCTTGCCATTTCAACCGTTCGTCGCTGATCCAATCTTCGTCCAATAAAAAAAGGCAGCCTCCGTCACTGAGGAAAAAAGAAAGAAAACCACGCGATTGGCAAGTCTGGGCTGATTCCTTTCGATCCCCTGCTTAAAGGCTTAAAGTCTTGTGGTTTAAGTGGCAAGCTAAGACGAAACCAACTGCAAACCTGAAAAAAAAAAAAAAAAAAAACGACACCCAAGGAACCCGGACGCCTGGCTCCAAAGCACCCCGGAAAGAAAACGGAAAAAAACGTCCACCCACTTTGCCACGCCCCCCGCCCTCCCCGCCTGCACGGCGCGGGCCACGTCCTTGCTGCCGGTGCCCACCACCGTCCAGGCGGCCGCGCTGGAGACCAGCAGCCATTGCCCCGGCCACATCCGCCCCCAGCCCCCGCCCCAAAACCCCCAGCCAGCCCCCGTGGAGTCGATGCTTCGTCGGATGAAGGAAGGCTCGTTGGGGAGAAGCCAACCACAACCCCCCACCACCCTGAGGAGTCGATGTTTCGTTAAGGGTGAAGGAAGGCTTAGGGGAGCACCTTTTGTGATGAAGGAAGGCTCTCTAGGCTAGAGAAGATCACTTCAACTTTGAAAAAAAATTGGGGTCTAGTAAAAAATCCCGGGTAGACATGACTGGGCTCTCCGTTGTTAGATCCTACACCCGAAAAATACCTGAGGAACGGCACGCCTGGGAACTGCCAGGAATCGGAGAAAGAAGGAAGCCTTGTTGCTGCGAGGCACGAGACTGAAACAAAACTGCTCGAACGGTGTGTTGAGAGTTTATAAAAAGGAAACGACGAAATCACGAGCTTTCCTCATGTAAGAACGAAGTGTCCTCATGTTGTTGGCGCCAGCTGGAAGTGTGTTGAAATCTCGCCTAACCGGCAAACCAACCCGTGTTGAGTCAGGAAATGACCAGCGGACATCCTTCCTATCTTTCAACATGAAATGACAAGCCCGCAACAGCTTGGCCAAACTTGACGAGGGCCGCAGGAAGTGCGTCTGTTGTGTTTCTCTCTCAGCTCCGCTCAAACCGGTTGGCCAGACCTGGTGCAAGCCCTGACAACAGGTGAAGCGAAGCGGCTCCAACGGATTTCAGTTGACCCCCCCAAAAAAAAGCGCCTTGTCACCTGTAAGAAACGTTCGCCAGGTTGGATCCCAACCGGCGCCCTGGCTTTGCCGGGGAATCCGCCGGTGGGTCTGACGTGAAACGGCTGGAGCCAAAGTTTAGCCGAAGGAGCCGTCGACGCGTGCAGGCGGTTGCCTTGCTTAGATGGTCCGGGAGGAATCGCTCAATGGCGAGCTTTGCCCTGGTTGCAACCGACTTATGGTTGTAAGTTCAACCAAGGGTTACTAGCCACGCAATTCCTCCCAAACCATCCAAGCAGGGCCAGCTTCCTGAAAGCTTGAGATCTCCACGTCAGTAATCTTGGTTGCCTTTGACCCCCCTGCAAAAAGTTTGACTTTTTGGGGGGTTTAGTGGAAAACACATTTGTTTCCCAAAAGGTTAAAGTCTAAAGATCCAAATCAATAGCAGTCAAGTAATGGCACGAGCGCCTGCCACCAGGACCTCAATGGATTTTCGTGGTTTCCCCTTTGAATGTTGGGTGGTTTTTTTCGCACCGCTCACCGATTCTTCGCCCACTGGTCAAACTTGTTGCTGGTTCTCAGCAACCGGCCCCTAGAAACCATCCCTGGCTTCTTTTGAGGGAGTTCGCCGCTTCGCTCCCAACACCATTCCGAATTTTCCCCTACTGGGAGGCAAGCAAGTCCCCAGGTCAGCAGAACAAAGCCCGTCGCGGCTGGCCGAAGCTCGCCGGGCACAGCGCATCTTGGGTCGTGATGTTTGTCCTCAAGGCATATCCGTAGTGTCGGCCCAAAACTGGGCTGTCCATTTTTAGATGCCCTGGTAAAAGTGACTGACTTGGGTTCAGTATGGAAACCCAACCACTAAGCCCTGCCAAAAAACTCTCTAAAAAACCGGACGGCGGGGTGCGAGCCGAGGAAAACAGCGACCTTCGGCTCCTTCGCTCAGGGTTTCCTCCACGTATTTCCCGTGTTGGAACCTCCAAACGTGGCGATCATTTCAAGGGAAACCTTTAGTAACTTCATTTTTTGAGTTGGGGGCAATGCTCAGCTTCATCAATTCTTGAGTTGGGGGCAATGTTCAGCTTCATCAATTTTTGAGTTCGGGGCAATGTTCAGCTTCATCAATTCTTGAGTTGGGGGCAATGTTCAGCTTCATCAATTTTTGAGTTCGGGGCAATGTTCAGCTTCATCAATTCTTGAGTTGGGGGCAATGTTCAGCTTCATCAATTTTTGAGTTGGGGGCAATGTTCAGCAGCCCCCTGTGACTAGGTGTCTTGTTGTTTTTTCTTCTGTTTCTTATCTTTTGTCAGAACTGCCAGAAGCTGCTAGAAACCTTTTCGTAAGACTCACTGAGCTGCCCAGAACCGGGGCGTTGTTTTGCTGTTGCGCTTGAATTCCCGAAACTTGCTGGTGCCCAGTCAGGGAATAAGAAACGGAATGAACCTTCTAAACCATCCAACTGCTGGTTTCCTTTAAGGGGACCCCTGGGTCATTCCCTACCTCTCGCACCAGCAAGAAAAAATGCCCCCGCCGTCGTCGCCTCCACCAGCAAATCCCCGCAGTTCGCCTCGGGCGCCAGCGCCGCGGTGAGCGGCGCCAGCAGCGCCGCCTTCGCCGCTCTTCGGGGGGCGAGGCCCAGCAAGGCGCAGGCGGCGCCTGCCTCGGTGGAGCTTATGTTGTAGACTCTAGACATGCAATGCTGTCTGGAAACCCCAAATATATACATATATATATATATGAAAACTCTTGGGAAACGCTGAGAAACGCTCCGGAAACCCTTCAGAAACCCTGAGGACAACTTCGGGACTTCCTTTCCTTTATTCGCCTTCAACGGGCAAATGGGAAAGCATATTTCTGGAGATCTCCAGGGTCGAAATCTCCCCCCTCACCCGATGTTCCCAGTCCAGTGGTTTGACCCTGAAGATATGGCGCCGGGCATAAGCAGGGTCGAGTAAAATGTCCCTGTGTGAGTCCGATGCTTTCTTTGCACATGTCGCCACTGATATTCTTGGAAAAAGAGACCTCGAGTTTTTGTTCGGATCTTGCTCCAAAATTTCGGGGGCAAATGACCTCCACTTCAACGGGTTGGGTTACAGGAAATTCCGCAAAAAAAAAGAGTTGGGTGGGGCCATTTTTTGAGACCAAACCCTTTTGACCATGTTGACAATATTACGTGTTCGTTCTGAAGACGATTTTGCCCAAACCTTCCCCGTACTTCACTGCCGTCTCCAACTCCCCGAGTCCTAACACAGCACCTCTGAAGGACACATTCAAATCCACTGAAAGTGATCTTACTGGCCCAAATCTGAAAGCAAAAGATGTCATGTTGCTCCCTTTTTGGGTTTTTGGGTTTTTTTAGGGGAAAGGAAGACCGGGGGTCCAAAAATGGAGACAATGCCTTTTCAGCACCCACCTGGATCTTTGCTTCGCCCGGTTCGTAAGTGGCCAGGTTTCCACCTGAACCCACAGAGTGAACTCCTCTGGGAACCTATAAGTGGGTGACCAGCAACTTACTAAGTTGGGGGGTTCTCAAAATAGGCCGTGGGCCCCTTTTTGGATGGGTTTTAAAGGAGAACCAAAGGGAAACCACCGGCCTTGAGGAATTGGCCCCCAATTTTGAGAACCAGCCATCTATTTCGACCCAAACTAACTTATCAAAACTTGGTTGACGCAACGACCCCTCTGCAAAAAGTTTACCTGTAGCGGAAAACGGACCCCCACCTGGAGGGCTTCAACGCTTACTAACCTCTTACTAAGTACCCCATCACCCCTTTAAGCAGCTCATCGCCCCTTCCCGAAGCAGCGACCCAACTTTCCCCGCGGCGCCAGACGCGGCCCCACCGGCCGCTGAAGGTCGGCGCGGCCGCTGGCGCAGAGCAAGGCCGGGCCCTCTGAGCACAGGCAGCGCCCGTCCTGGCGACGTGGCTGGACCAGACCCGAGACCCGCCCTACGCCCCAGAGGGTCCGAGAACAATCAGATTCACAGCCAGATCATTGCCGTAGCACTCACTGGGATTGGGAGCTGTGGCAGGGTTACTGTCTCTTGGTGGTTCCCAGCCATCTGGTTCCTCGGTCCGTTGGGTCGTATGGAGTTTCTTTTTGAGGGTAGCTTTTTGGGGCTGGGTTTTCGGAGCGCAATCAACATGGTGAAGCCGCAATTTTGGGCTGGTCCGCTTTGGTGGTCCTCTTCAACACAAGTTCATTCCTCCGAAAATGGATGGATGGCCTTAAATGGATCCCAATAGCTAGGTTCACTCCTACAAACAAGATAGCAATATTTTCTTGTCCGGTTCTATGGGTTCGAACTAAATGGGTTCCTGTCCGATGCGGAAAACCCACGATAGCCCTGTACGATGTCGGCTTGGGTCGGTGAACGTTTGAGTGAGATAGCTTGAAGCTCCCTCTCGCTTGTTTTTGCTACTCGTGCACACGATCCTTCAAACTGGCTGACAAAACTGGGACACCGGAAAGTCACAAAATGTTTGGCTCTGCACAAAACTTAGTTGGCTTGGCTTGCATATTGAAAGATTTCACTTAACTTTGCTGGCGGATTCCTTTCCGCAACTTCCTTGGTTGGATATCAGGTTGGCCACTGCCTCCCTCTCACACAAGCAAGCAAGCCAGGAAGCAAGCCAGCAGACCAAGCAAGCAGACCAAGCAGACCAAGCAAGCAGACCAAGCAGGCAGACCAAGCAAGAAGACCAAGAAGAAAAACAGTAGGTGCCCTTCTCTGATCCCTACAAAAATTGACCTGAAGTCTCCCTGAAGAAAAACTGCCTTCAAGTATGTCGAAACACCTGTTGCTTAGACTACATCCATGTCCCTTTACAAGGGAACCACGGAGTACTGTAGCAACACTTCCCCACCAAAATGGTTGATTTCCTTTTGGCTTCCCTTCTTAAGAAGCAAAAAAGGGGTTCAGCAACACAAACGACACACCCACAGTTCGCCCCACTCTGCAACACCCCTTTTTTGCGCGCCTCGCGCCAGATGGTGTAGCGCGCCACATACCAAGCGTCCGGAAAGCAGGGCGCAGGCACACCTACGACTCAGATCAGAGGAGAGGTGTTCCTTCTTTGGCTTGCCAGGAACCCTCCCAACCACAAACCCAAGAGGGAAATGTGGTATGATATGGAGCTGTCTGTTTTAGGAGACCCACAAAACTGTGGTTTCCCGCTTGATTTCCCTTTAAACCCACCAGCTTTCTCCGGCCATATACGGTAATCGGATAAACACACAAGGCAAGGCACGTCAACATACAGGAGCGCATCTCCGCTTACGGATCCGCATTGGGGCCAGCAAAGGGCATCGGCCCTTTCTTTTTCCGGCAGTCGCGAAAAGGGGAAAACCAGCTAGGTCCTTCGGTAGAGAGGATAGAATAAGGGTACCAACTTTTTGATGTAGCCTATTCAGGGGAACCCTCCCCCAAAAAAGAAGTAAAGGGGCACTGGGGGACCTAGCCAGAAGCAGCAGGGGAACCAGCCCCAAACCCCCAGCACCCACCTTCCAAAGAGACCTTGCCCGTGCCAATTGGCCCAGTCGACGTCTGGCCGACGTGTGGCTGGGGGGCAAGGGCCGGCGCGACTGGCAGAGGACCGGCGCGACTGGAAGGTCGCTCCCGACCAGCGAAAAGAGCGCAGCGTAGTAGAGCTCCACATTGCTAAGTTCCCATGTTCATGGTAAGAACCAAAGGAAAACAACCCACTTGAAGAGGCACCAACAAACCAAATGTGTTAAAACCAGATCTTAGCTCCTCAAACCGGAAAACTACTGTGGGATGGACGAAAACCTGCACCATTTGGAAACTATGGGAAACCATTGTTGGTTGGTATTTACGTTGGCGAAATGGATTTCGCAACCATCCACAGCATCGAACCTCAGCCGAAACTTATATTCGCTTCTCCCAAAGCGCCTGGGAAAAGAACACACTCCCATCCCAAATGCTTCCAGAGCCAAGGCGTCAAATCCAACTTCAGCCTTTTTTTTCCCGATTTGGGGCTGCTTCAAGGCTCAGGGCCGCGAATTTGTCCCATAAGGATGTTTGGCCCCCCCTTCTCCACATACAACAAAGGAAACTGGCGATTCCGGGTCCGCAGGTTGCACGGATGGAACAGGAACAAGGTATGGTCCCAGGGAAGGAAACGGAATTATTTTCTTTATGGTGAAATCAAAGATGAACATGGATCTCTCATCTTGGTCCAAGTACATGGCACAGTTCTCCCATTTGGATTTAGTCATTCCCCTCAGTACATCCGACTGAGTGATCGAGGCTCTGACCTCCCAGGCGCACCGCCCAGGCGCCGCAGCTCTCGCCCGCGCGGCGGCACGCCGCCGCCGGCCAGGGCTTCGGCGGCAACCGCGCGCCGGCCGCCTCAACGGGCAGAGACATCCTTCGACGACGGCCAGAGCCGGACCGTTTAAAAGGGAGACCAAGAGGAAAACACTTGAAAGACAAGGAAGTCTTAAAGGAATTCCGTGGGCCCCCTTGCAAAACAAAAATAAGCTCAGGTGATATCCCCAACAGCATGCGGTGCTCTTTTTAGTGCTCGCACCACCCCGCAGCCCTCGTGGAACCCTGGCGGAACCCTGGTGGAACCCTCGTGGAACCCTCGTGGAACCCTCGTGGAACCTTACCTCAGGGCCGCCCCGGACCACCCCGGAGCCGATCTGGGCTGAGACCCCAAAGCTTTCAGATGTTGGGGAAAAAAGAACAGAACCATGTCATACTGTGGATGGTAGCGTTTCAGGGTTTGAGGGGGGTAGCAGTGGGGTTTGGTGGGCTTTTAGACTCTTGGGGTGGTTTCGCGGAGTCTCACATGCGCGGCTCGCGCCACGGTTCATGGTAAACCCTGGGAATGAAACCATAACGTTTTGTTGGTATGGACAAGAAAATCCAGTCATGCTGGGGTTTTCTTAGGTGGTGCGAAATGGATTCCGCCCACAGTACGGCTCTAGGAGTGAAACCAGATCTGGCCCTTGCGCCTCTCTGCCCGCGGTGTCCGCATCGGACGGAATGCGCCGCAGCAGCACGCTGCAGGGACTGACGCGGAGTTTCAGATGGGGCGGCCTTCTTCTGGGAACCGCCAAAAATTGAATAAAAATTTGGTGGGCTTCCATGAAGAGCAAGTCAAACCGGGTCGCTTTGTTTCTGGAAGGAACTAGGATGCCAAGAGGAGGCTCGTTTTTCAAGACGCGGTGGTTGATGTTCCATGCTTATCTTCAGAGGTTCTTTTGTGGGAGTTCTTGCTCCAAACACATGTGGCAGTCTCTCTTGAGGATGCACACGGCTCAGGGCCAGATCTATCCGAGGGGTCCAAAGTTGTCAGCTGGAATAGGGGCCCCCTTCCACTTCACTGTGCGTTTCGGCCAGCAAAGAAGCCACAAACACCGCCAGAGAGAAAGAAAAAGAGAAAAAAAAGAAGAAGAGAAAACAAAATGAGGGGAGAAAAGATAAACGTGTCCGGTGGCACAAGAGAAGCTGGCGCCAGGTTCTCAGCCTTGGAAAATTCCAGGAGTTCATGAGCCCCCGGCCGTAAAGGACGTCTTGGCAGCAGGTACCCTCTTTCCAACAATCCTAGAAGCGGACAGAAGGGTGCCCCAAAAGGAAAAGAGTCTTCCAAAATACTTCTGTCAGCTTCCATGATTGTTGGAGGGAGAGTCATTGAATCTTCTGCCAGTGGCAGGCTCTTCAGCGAAAAAGATACGTATTCCCAATGCCTGACCTTGGAAAGCTCCTGTACACGTGTCCCTGATGATGGTTCTGTCAACAAAACGTGTGTGAACATTCCCTGACAAGAAAGGTGCCCTTTGCAAGCTGTCAGAGATTCCAATCGAATTGCGGTTAGACTTCGAAGAACAGCTTCCAGGTCCTCCAGTAGAGAGGTTAGAAGGGTAGTAGGGGAACCCTCCCCCAAAAAGGGTAAAAGGGCACTACCGGGGCACCTAGGCTTCCAAGAAGGAGAAGATCGATCAGATTTGGCCTTTGAACGACGCTTCTTCTTCTGTTTTTTCCTCACCGCGTGCACTGAACTTTTGGCCGCAGATGCCGGAGGGGTAAAAGCGCTGACCTGTGACCATCGTTTTCATGCCACCTGTTTGGCTGTGATTTTGAGGGTACCTTTTTTGGGGTTGTTTTTAAAGAGCAGCCAAAGGGAAAAACCGCATCTTGCCGGTCCCCTATTTCAACACAGACTTGTTTCTCCTAAATGGAAGGGCATGTGTTGAGCAGGCAATCATATGACAAAAGCCGGCATGTTTGTTTCACTGTCTGAGGAATGAAACACAGCCATGGCGAGTGCACAAGTTTGATCTTTGTTTTCTCCGAGCCTCAAACTCAGGAGACCCATCTAGCGGGCTCTAACTTTCGAGTTCCAAAGTCCTAGAAACCACATAGCAGTTCTTGGGCTCCTGGTTCGATGGGTGCCAACAAATTGGGATCTCTTTAATGATGCAAGCGATTGGAACTCATGTGTAACTGTCCTTTTTGGGGAAGCCCCTGTCCCCTTCCATGATTGTTGGATAGAGGGGAGCACCTCTTCAAGGTCGCTGTTGCGGGTCACGCGACCGATCTGTTCCCCAGCAAATGAGAATGACCCGCATTCATCCCCACTAAAATGAATCTGCTACTTGACTCTATGTGCATGTTGACTTCGAATCAGTCCGGACCATACTACTCGAGAGTTTCCCCTTTGAGTGAAGCTTCCCTTGGGGTCGCCTGACCAGAAGTTCCCCCTTTTCCTCGGAAGTGCGCATTGACCAGCCCCACAGACAGATATGGCCATGGGTAAAAATCCAAATCGAACCCCCAGTGAACATCCGATTCAATCCAACCACTAAAAAATCGGTCCGAAAACTTGGGTGGTGAATTCACCTAGCCCAAAATGGGATCCCAAAACGAGGATGCCCCATGTCCATATGGCATCAAGCGAGTTCCCTTCGCCAAGAGAAGTCCTCGACATCTGAGCCCAGCCGGTGAGACTTCAACCGCTCTCCTTTGAGAGGGGTGAAACGGGCCAGCCATTTGCTTGGGCTCGCAGCTCCAGGAGCAAAACGCCAGCGAACATTTGCTTGAGGTTTGCTTCCCTAGGTCAAGTAAAGAGGTTAGACTAAGGTCTCAAAAAAAGAAACACCCCAAAGAAGTGCTTGACCTTAAAGGAGCCCACCCTTTCTACAGCCACACCCCCTTGCGCTTGAAGCGGTGAAGCGGCTTTCGCAAGCCTCAGGGCCTCTAAAGCGACAAGCTCAATGTGCTTCACCTGTGGACTTATGAGCTTGAGTATGTGTCAAAACCAAAAAAAAAAGAAGAAGAAAAAAACGCCTTTCGATTTTGGGGGTTGGTTTTTCTGGCATAGGGTGCCTTTTGAAAGGCTTCCCCCACCCCTTCCCAGCCATGGGACCGTTTTTCAACTGCTCATTTGGCTGTGGTGGTCAAAACCGTTTTGGAGATCCCTTTTTTTGGGCTAGGTGCATTCACCACCCAAATTTTAGGAACAATATTCTAGTGGTTGGATTGAATCGGATGTTCACTGGGGGCTAACCGGGCTTACCCATGGCCATTTCTGAAGCGACCGAGCGGGGTTTGACCGACACAGGCGATTGCAAGCGTCTCGCCCGCACGCGTCTCCGCGTCTGAGGCTCACTTCCGCTTCTTCTTGCCTTTGGACTTGTTCGCCTCCGCCCGCAAGGCCGCCTCCTCTGAGAGGTCCTGCCAAGCGGGGCCTCGGGCCTATTGGGCGGAGACGTGCGGGAGAGAAGCGAGAAAAAAATTGGGCATGGTTCCAAGGGTAGCGCCCATGTCCATTCTTTCCAGGGATCCGAATCTTTCTAGAAAACCACCAAAAAACATGGGGAAACAGGTGTTCGAAAAGAGCGATGGTTGAAAAGAATGGGGAATCAACCCCCGACTCTCCGTCGCTTCAGCGCTCCGCCAAGGGAAAGCATCTGACAAGTCGCATGTCCCGCCACGACCCAGCTCGAATGCTCGTGAACTGAACCTCAAAGATTTCTCTAGGAGCCTGCCTCCATGTTCTTGTGTAGGTGAGTCAACGTGCAAGGCTTTTTTCACGGATCCCTGTCCGTTGTGATCGATAGGGCCTGCGGTTCCGCCCGATGCATCGGGCGACAAGAAGCCCAGCGCCAGAAACAGGTGCTTACATGGCCCAAGTTCAGCACCCCGAAACGGGGCATCTGTCCCGCGTCCGCCAGATGCCGGTGTGTCCCGAAGCCGGTGCCCTCTTCCGTCTAAGCACCAGTTGGAAGAGGGCAACATGTGACTGCTGAATGAATGCTGGCGAATTGAAGACTGCTGCAAGCTGGGAAATGGTGGTTGTTCCTCTTGTAAGTTGTGCTCCCTCATGTCCTGTGCCAGATTCTGGTCGCCTGCACTGCATGCCGCGGGGGCCACTAGCGGACCGATCATTATCCCACTACCAAGTTGCGAAGCAGCATGTCTTGAAAAGGCGCGCTAAGTCAGCACAACTAGCAACCGCAACTGCCAAAATGAGCATCCTAAACCATTTGTCCGAACTCCAACAATTGCGCTTGGTTGACAAACCACACAAGAACTATACTGAAACGTACAACGAAACAAACAAAAATATGATTCAACAAAAAAAAGGAAAGGTGAGGGACACACTTCGGCTTCTCCATGTCAAACTTTCGGACAGAACCTTGGCCAGCCCGCAGTTCGCTCCCGGTCCTCCTGTTTGCGCCTCTCTTCCTCCACCTTCTCTTGGATCTCTTCCACCCACCTGAAAACTTCTCCCTTGGGACCTTTTGGGGCAGAGTCACCTGTTGGTCCTCCAAGGTGAGATCATTCTCCCTGACTCTCTCGCAAAAGGATCATTGCGGCCCTGAAAGGGGGCCATGGTTTCAGGTCACCGGGCAGAAGGAGATGCAACCAGAGGCAAACGTTCTTGGCGGAACCTCTTGCCGTGACTTTGGCAGCTTGGAGGCTTTGTGGGCTTTGTGGGGTGTGCTTTTCTTGGGATTTGGGAGTCTTGCGGGTCAAGGTAGCTAAGGCGTGCTGTTGTGCCTTACGATCGCCAGACATTTCAAATTTGGCATGTGAGCCAATCACAAAAAAAGCTATGACAATCCAAAACAAGGTCGACTGCTCACTGTTCGGTGCTTGTCTTGACGGGCCTTAAGCAAGGGCGGTCGCGGACATACACTACTGCGCGCTTGTTTGGATGTAGTCAGGAAATGATTGCATACAGTCGGGTGGAAGTAGATGGGACAACTCCTGCAAGTCAAGGGAGAATAGAATCATAAAGGAGACCCTTTCAAGACTCATAGGCACAACCTGCTCGGAACAGAAACTCCAAAGCGATCTACCCCTGAAGGACACCCTTTTGGTTTTGGGTTCCCGCTCAGAAAGACTTGGCCCCAAGTTCGCCCAGGCTGTCTTCGATTCGCCCCAGGTTCGCAAGTTGTCTCACTTCCGATCGACTACCTTGGCCCAACTGTGTGTTCGCCACGAAAATGGTCTTCCCAAAGAGAAAATAAGGTCCAGTTCTAACCCACGAAAAATGCCGCCTTAGCTGGGTTGGCCCAGTCATTCGTGGGTAACCCAGGTGGCGTTGCAACGCCACTAACTTGGCGAATCGAACATCCAAGCACATCCCTCACAGCAGCGCCTCTCGCTCCTCGCCTTCATTCGATTCAACCGCCGCTCCTGGCAAAGGCTTTGCACTGCAAAGGTCTCACAGAGGATAGCCTCCCACCACGAACATGGAAGCTCACAGGAGGCTCACGTGAGTCAGAATCAAAACCCGGTATTAAAATGGTCGATCCCCAGAACCATGTGAAGCATTAAGAAGGCGGCCGCAGCTATTTATGGTTGGGGTTGTCCCTTACTACCTTTCATCTACCCGGATTTTGATTGTGGGAACGCCTATTTCTGGTGACTGAACCCAACCTTCATGCACGGTTTTGATGGCTCAAGTCCTTAAATCCCGTGGCTGGGCCGTCAGATCTGCGAAAGGCTTTTTAACTTGTAAGCCACAGAACCAAACCAACTGAAAACATTCACAAACACCC